GTTCTAGACACATGAAATGCAGGGGTGAGTGGTCTGGGGGTCGGTGAGGCAGCTAAATGCGAAGACAAGACCCCTTGGATGCGCTCTGTTTGGGTAAAGAGCAGGAGTCCCGGCTGCACACGGCCCAGCCCTGGAGGTCAGGGAGGTCGTCCCAGACACACAAGAGAGCTTGTGTGAATGACAGGCAGGAGCTGCCAGGGTGAGAAGTTGGGAAAGAGTTCAGGTTGGAGTTGAGAAGAACCGCAGGAGAGAAAGGTCACACCCCTTGAACCGTCTCCGCTGGGGCAGGAAGTGCCGGTGGGCAGCTCTTTGGGAAGAGCCGGTGAAACCGTGGGGCAGGACGTTTTTCTCAAGGTGACAGAAGCCACTCACAGAGCTTAAGCCGAGAGCACGATCGCAACTGTTTTCAGCTCCAAGATCTGGGTCACCTGCAGCCTAGCTTTATTTGCTGTTTTCATTCTGACTATGGGTGAAGGTTTTCTGCTTCTTTGCATGCCAAGGGAATTTTGATTGCATGCCGGACATGGTGCACAGACAGAAAGTGAGCGTGAAGCTGATGACGCATGTCTACTTTCCGTGGAGGGAGCGCACACTTTCCTCTGTCGGGCAGGGAGGGTGAGGAGCTGTGTTTTCACTAGGAGTTGAGCTGGGCTGGGCGGCAGATTCCTTGGCTACTGGCTCCCGGTGTGGGAGTGGGGTCAGGCCCCTCCTCCCAGCGGGAAAGGCTCTGATCCTGGACCTCTCCTGCTGTGGCCCCGCCTGCTCTCAGAAGCTGCTCGTAGCAGAATCCCTGGGTGGAGGGTCAGCGGGTCCAGGGGAGTTTTTGGGGGCTTGTCTGTACCCACAACCCGGGCCAGCCTGTGTGGGAACTAAACCTCGGCTTGTTCCCTCACGTCCCTCTCATCTCACAGACACCCAGGCCTCTCCACCTGTGTTGAGGATGAGGATAACTGCCAGCAGCCTCTTCTGACCTAGGAATTTGGGCCAGTTGGACACTGAGTCTTCGACTTGTCTGAGACTTTAAATAAATATGATTTTTATGGTTTATTTGGCATTGACCTTTTGTTACCGTGTTAGTGGCTGGCCTACTAGCTTCTACATCCTAAGTGGAAGCAGAACTTCCACTTAGTTCTGACGGGTGTTTGACGGGTGTTTGAAGGTCACTTTGGCAGCTGAGAGGAGGGTGGGCTGAAGGGGACAGCCCTCGGCCGTGAGACCGGCAGGGACAGGAGGACTGGGGTGGGGTCTGTGGACAGAAGGGGCCAATCCGAGGGGCGCAGGACTTGGGCGTGGCTTGGCTTCTGTGATGATGGAGGGCGGAGGGCTCTGGCTGCAATCTGGGGTGCTGGGCTGACGCAGGCTCTCAGGAGATGGGGCCCGTGGTTGAGAAGCCTGGGACCCCAGAGCAGGACCAGCAAGCAGAGGCCAGGGGCCTCCGGGGGAGCCTTCCAGCTGCTATTTTGTGGAATGATGACCACAGCTGCAGGCCTGGGCTGAGCTGCGAGTGGCCTCCTTTGAGAAGAGGGCATGGCGGTGGGCTGGGCCTGGAACCGAGAGGGCAGGGTGGCCTTCAGATGCAGGTGGATGGGGCAGGGTGAGGGGGGCATGGGGGTCCTTCAAGGAAAGCAGCAGACCCCTCAGACAGCAGTGCTAGAACGGTGGCAGCCAGCCCAGTGAGGCCCAGCTCCTCCTGCCGTCTGGGCTGTGGAGGGCCAGGCTGCCTTACAGGGGGCGGCTCTGGCCGTCCTCCTCTGGTCTGGAGGAGGGCCCACCAGGGAAGGCCCAGTGGTTGGTCAGTCTCTGGGGTGGGGCTGGTGCTGGCTGTGGTCCCCTGGAGTGGGGCTTCTCCCCTGCCTCTCCAGGGGCCTGGGGTCTGAGCAGGCCTCCAGCAGCCTCTGCCACTCGCCCTGTACAGAGCATGGCCCTGGCTGCTGGACATAGCTTTGGCCCCTCAGGAAAGTGGGAGGTTTGGGTCAACGCTCTGGGGGAGGCCGGTCCAGAGTGTCTTGTGACTCGAGGCCGCGCAGTGCCTGGGCTATGTCAGGTGGCTGGTCCGGGGCGTGGGGCAGGCTGGGTCAATAGGACGAGACCCGCAGGGGCATGCGTAGTGGGGGTGATGGTGGGGGCGGGGACGGGCTGGGTCTGCAGGACAAGGCCTGCAGGGGTGTGCGTGGTACAGGTGGGTGTGGGTATGCTGAGGCGGCCCCCCTGCCCACCAGTGGCACCCTGCATGGCCTTCATGGCGCTGCCTGCCAGGCCCTGCTCTCTCTCGAGGTGTCGGGGCCGGGGCTGTGGTCTGCACACCCTCCCCGCTCGGCGTGGGGCCCACAGCATCTCAGGCCTGCAGGCTAGGTCCCGGACCTTGGGCGAGCCTAGCCTTCCTCTCCCAGCGCCCACTGCCTCGGGCCCCCGTCAGACACCTTCCCTGCTGGTCCCCGCATTGGGCCACCTGGATGCCTGCCAGCCTGTGTGTCCTGCCGCCTCCCTGACCGGCGTGTCCACTGTGGTCTTGAGGGGCTGGGCTGCGTGCTGCGGCGTTGGGGGAGGACACCTCAGAGGGGAGGGCGAGCCCTGGGCCCCCAGACCCCCTCCTCTGTGGCATCTGCCCCTGTGTTCCTCCAGGAGGCCTGTGGTCAGGGGCCACTGTGGGTGCTTGCGGATAAGAACCTTCTGGGCGCCCAAGTCCAGCATATGTGGCCTCCCAGGTGCTGACTGGGCTCCCAGAAGGGCGGAGGGCTTGGGAGCCGGGGAGTCTTGGACGTCCCCAGAGGGCAGCTGTTGAGGGTGCCTGCCCTCACTCCCAGCCCGGGGGAGGCCCCTGCTTTGCGCCCAGTGGCGGGCGTATCTTGGTGGGAAATGACTGCTTGGATCGTGGGGGGCGGGCAACACCTCCTGCCCTTTCTGGACCGGTGTGTGGCGTGTGGACGTGTGTCCGGGGCCAGCAGGGCAGCTGTCGGGCTTCCAGAGCCCTGGGGCCCCCGACACTCAGCGGCCGCACCCCCACTGCCCAGTGCCTTAGGGCTGTCCCCCTGCTCCCCACCCCGTGTCCTGGCCGCCCCAGGCCTGTCTGACTCACCACCAGCGTCCAGGCTGCAGCTGCCGTTGAGGAGCGTCCGGGAGGCCTCGTGGCTGACCACACAGGTGTAGGCGGCCCCCGCGTCGTCCAGGGGCCTGGAGACACGCAGGGCGCTCCAGGTGTGGAACGAGGCATGCCCATCCTGGGCTGTGGGGCGCGCCGTTGCAAACTGGGAAGGCTCCATCTCTTGCTGGCCCTTCAGCCATGTGAGGAGGACATCCACGGGTGAGAAGCCGGATACCTCGCACAGGAGCCAGGCAGGGGAGAAGGGGCCAGGCGTGGTCAGAGTGCGGAGGGTCAGATTGCTGGGCACTGAGGCAGCTGCAGGGAGAAGCCATGTTATGCTCTTTAGCTAGGGCTCCAGGGGCTGGGCGCCGCAGCCCAGGGGTCCCCTGGGGGAAGGAGGTGGCTGGGATGCTTCGGGGCCCGCGGCTGCCCTCACCACGTTCTCTCTGTGCCATCAGGGTCACCGGCGACCGCAGGCCGGGGCTGCTCAGTGTGCAGGTGATGGTGGAGCCCGAAGCCCACAGGGACCTGGGCAGGACCAGGCGGCTGCTCTGGCTCCAGGAGCCATTGCGGTCCTGGGTGGGCCCCTCATCCACGGCCCCGCTGTGGGGCTGCCCGTTCACCTCCCAGGAGAAGCGGGCATGCAGCGGGGCCTCCCCTGTGGCCAGGCAGGTGAACTCGGCCTTGTCCAGGAGCCAGAGACCCCGTGGGGTTGGGGGCAGCAGGTGGACGCGAGGGGCCTGGGTGTGGTTCCGACTCTCTGCGGAGAGGGGGAGGAGAGGTGTGAGGGTCTCGGTGGGGGAACGGCGGGGTTGAGGGCTGGCCAGTGACCCCAGGCCCGCCCTCTCTCCAGGGACCCCTGGCCTTTGTTGCTTCCAGAAGTGCAGTGGGCAGGGGTCTGCCCACCACTGAGCCGGGGTCTCGCTTGCAGGCAGGCTGTTACCAGTGCCCCTGAAAACACTCCGCCCTTCTCCCCCACTCTGTCCCAAGGGACTGACCTCTGCAGGGGTCCTTTGGACACGCCGGTGTCTGGGCTTCTGGCTGGCCGTGGCTGGTGGACAGCACTGTGGAGAATGGGGGAGTCAGGGTCTCCTCCGGGCGCCGCAGATGGCTGGGGCCATGGCCTCCCCACATCCGCAGCCCCAGCGGTGGCCTGCCGGCCTTCCCGTCATCTAGGGGTCGCCTCTGCCAGCGTCTACAGCTGTGCTCTGGTCCCGGTGGGACCCTGGCTGTCCACTTGCTGGTTGTGAGTATCTACGCTAAGTGCTCGGGGACTGTTCTCATGACCATCGCCAGGACAGCTTACGGTGAGAAGGACTAGCAAGCGACTGGCCATAGATTTGTGACAGCCAGGGGTCAGCCAACTTTTTCTATAAAGGCCCAGGAAGTAGATATTTGAAGCTGTGCTTCCACACAGTGCTTCTGTCTGTCCCTCCTCCCGGTCCGTCCCTCTAAGCTGGACAGGCCAGCCCGGGCGGCAGGGATCCAGCTTCGTGGTGCATCTGGCCTCAGGCCGTGCTTGAGCTGCACCGTGTCTGGGTCAGGGGCCATGCCCCGAGCAGAGGGCTGGGCTTGTGCGGTCAGCAGGCCTTAGGCCCCAGGAGGGTCACTCCCCATGGGAGGGCAGTCCAGCACCGGAGTAGGAGGGCACGGCCTGTGGTCACGGAGCTCGGCCCCTGTCCCCAGGACTGCTGGATGGGCGACGTGGCCGCAGCAGTCTGGTCAGGGCTGACCGCCAATGCTTGGGGAGCACTGGGCTGTGCACAGTGCCCCCCCACCCCACCGAGGTGACCCTCTAATCTGCAGGGCCCACCTCTCTCCTGATCGCCCCTGCCCCGTGTGCCTGACCGGGTTACCCCACACCCAGGGGTCATGCACAGTGGTGGCAGGTTCTGCCTGGGACTGTGGGCATTATGGCTCACGGGCTGGGCGGGGGGCTGCCCAGGGAGACATCACAGCCACGGTCCCCTCTTGGAGGGTTGCCAGTGGCCTGGGGGCCAGTGAGGGAACTGCCCAGCTCCCTCCTGCAGCTGCTGCTCTGGGCCAGGAGGATACCCAGGGTGAGGGGTGACTCTGGGCACCCCACAGCTGGGCGCCAGGCACACGGAGAGGCTGGAGCCAGGTGCAGGTAGGGGTGAGGGCGGCCCTGCAGATGGCACCATTTCCGTGAGGGTCTCAGTTCTGCACGCGGGCTGGACCAGGTGAGCCCAGGGCTGGCCTGTGGGCCTCCCTCTCACTGCAAACCTCCCAGTGTGATCTGGGCACCTCCCCCATTCACGAGGGGCTGAGGGCCACACAGGGGCCTGAGGGGGCGTCTGCCAGCGCTCAACTTGGGCCTGGCCTGCAGCCAATGCCTCTGAGCAGTGCCCCAGCTTCCTGGCTCAGGGTGTGACTTAAGGACTCAGCAGAGATGTCGTAGAGGGCTGCCTGAAGGTGGCAGTGAAGGCACGGGCAGACAGGTGTGCTTGGATGGGGCTGCTCACCTGGGCTGCTCTGAGTGTTGACGACTTTGTTGGAGCCCTCTGACCTGGGTGTCATAGAAGGCGCTAACGTGGTCGGGGTCGGGGTCAGGGTCGACGCTGAAACCAGAGGAGCAGGGAGCAGGTGAGGGTCAGAATGTGCTGTGCCCTGGGTGAGGGGCTGCAAGGTAGACAGGAAGGGTGGGGGGCCACAGGAGGCTGTAGGGTGGGCTACCCTGGTCCCACTCCCACCCCTGGCCATGGGCGGAACCTGGCTCACCTCTGGGGGACACCACCACAGTCTTGATGATACTTTTATCCTTGGGGTGCTGGACTTTGCACTCCAGGTAGTCCTTTGACCCCGGGGGGACTCTTGGGGAGGGCAGGACCACCTGAGAGGAGGCCAACCACAAGCCGTCCCTCAGGACTTCGGGGAAGGTCTCACTGCTGACCATGGTGTTGTTCTTGAACTTCCAGGAGAAGCTGACAGAATTGGGCACGAAGTCCTGGGCCAGGCAGCCCAGGGCCACAGTGTTCTTGTCAGACGGGGAGCTCTCACAGGACACCAGAGGGAAGACTTTCAGGTGAGATTCACTTGCTGGGGACCCGAGAGAGGACACAAGAGAAGAGGGGGGTGAGAGGCGTCCTGCTGGTTGGGGGTGCAGGCCACTCCACCTTCTTTCTGGGACAGCGGAGCAGAGGGCACACTCAGCCCTGCCAGCCCACCGTCACTGCCCCCGGCTCAGCCACTTGGGGCCTGGCCCCAGGGTCTGGGGTCATCAATGAGACTGATATACACTCAGGCCCCCAGTCCTCAGCTCAACTAGTTCACTGAGATCAGCCCACTGTTGACCAGGACAGTCCAGCGGGGTCAGCTCAGTCCAGCTAGACCCACCAGCCTCAGTGGAGGTTAACTGCTTTGCATCTCAACAATTTGCCCAAGTCAAGCCAGCCCAGTGGGTCCACTTCTGTTGGCCCTGTCTCAGCCTACCATGGTTAACCCAGCATACCCCAGTTCAGCCTAGGCTAGCCCAGACCAGCTCAGCCCAGCTCAGCTCAGTTCAGCCCAGTTCAGCCCAGTTCAGCCCAGTTCAATCCAGATCAGCCCATTAGGCCAGCTCAACCCAGGTCAGTTCAGCTCAGCTCAGCTCCACCCTCTCAGGCTAGATCACTTGCTCAGCCAGCTAAGCCCAGTTCAGCCCAGCTCAGCTCAGCTCAACTCAGCCCAGCTCAACCCAGCCCAGCTCAGCTCAGCTCAACCCAGCTCAGCCTAGCTCATCCACTCTGCCCAGGCCAACACAGCTCAGCCCAGCTCATCCACTTCACCCAGCTCAGCCCAGCTCAGCTCAGCCCAGCTCAGCCAGCCCAGTTCACCACAGCTCAGCCCAGCTCAGCCCAGCTCATCCCAGCTGAGCCCAGCTCATCCCAGCTCAGCCCAGCTCAGCTCAGCTCAGCTCAGCTCAGCCCAGCTCAACCCAGCTGAGCCCAGCTCACCCACTCCACCCAGCTCAGCTCAGCTCAGCTCAGCTCAGCTCAGCTCAGTCCAGCCCAGCCCAGCTCAGCTCAGCTCAGTCCAGCTCAGCTCAGCTCAGCTCAGCAGTCTCTGCTGAGTGGGCAGCGCTGCTTCTCTGGGAGAGGAGAGCCTGGGCACATGTCCCTGGGGCCTGGCTGGCTTGGGCACACACCATGGGCCCGAGTTCCTGCCCCGAGTCTCAAAGAGTCCTGGTGACTAACTTCTCTCTGGCAAATGTCCTCATTAAAAACCACGGGAAATGCATCTTATCTGAACCTGCTCCCAATTCTGTCTTTATCACAAAGTTCTGCTGAGAAAGAGGATACTCTCTAGCACACAGCAACCATCTGAACCCCAAAGCTGTGTTGACCGCTTAAGTGTGGATGAGGAAGTGGTCCCTGTGGGTGTGAAGCGCCTGAGCCATCCAGACAGTAAGGAAGGGGAGCAACCCTGGCCACTTTCTTTAGGGAAAGTCAAGCTGAGCGGACTGGGCAGTGGTCCCTTGAGGAATTCAGACAAATAGACCTCATGTCTCACAGAGTAGGGGTTGAAGACTGATTCCCCTTGATGTAAAAACAAAAACATCTCATACAGAAGGTCCCTGACTCATGACTCAGTGTTTTACTCTTTGACTTTATCGTACTGTGAAAGCAACACACATCAGGAGAAACCACACTTCGAGTTCGAATGTTGATATTTCCCACCTGGCAATACACAGTCTGTCCTCTGCTGTGGGAGCTGGGCAGTGCAGCGGCTGCAGCCCAGACCTCCAGTGCTCAGGACAGTGAGCCACTCACACTCGCGGCCACGCTGGAGCCTGACAGCCACTCTGGTTATTTTGCATTCAGTATTCAGTAAATTACACCAGACGGTCTGCACTTTCCATTAATAAACTAGGCTTGAGAACTTCCACATGTACAAGCTGGATTTAGAAAAGGCAGAGGAACCAGAGATCAAACTGCCAATATCCACTGGATCATAGAAAAAAAAGCAAAAGAATTCCAGAAAAGCGTCGACTTCTGTTTCACTGACTACGTAAAAACCATTGACTATGTGGATCACAACATACTGTGGAAAATTCTTAAAGAGATGGGAATGACAGACTTACCTTACCTGGCCCCTGAGAAACTAAAAAAGCAACTGTTAGAACTGGCCATTGAACAATGAACTGGTTCAAAACCAGGAAAGGAGTATGTCGAGGCTATATATTGTCACCCTGCTTATTTAACTTATATGCAGAGTACATCATATGAAATTCCCAGCTGGATGACTCACAAACTGGAATCTAGATTGCCAGGAGAAATATTGACAATTCAGATATGCAGATGACACCACTCTAATGGCAGAATGCAGAGAGGAACTAAAGAGCCTCTTAATGAAGGTGAAAGAGGAGAGTCAAAAAGCTGGCTTAAAACTCATCATTCAAAAATCTAAGACCATGGCATCCAGTCCCGTCAGTTCAGGGTAAATAGATGGGGAAGAAGTGGAAACAGTGTCAGACTTTATTTTCTTGTTCTCCAAAATCACTGTGGACTGTGACTGCAGCCATGAAATTAAAATACACTTGCTCCTTGGAAGAAAAGCTATGACCAACCTAGACAGCATAGTAAAGAATAGAAACATCACTTTGCTGACAAATTCTGTCTAGTCAAAGCTATGGTTTTTCTAGTAGTCATGTATGGTTGTGACAGTTGGACCATAAAGAAGATTGAGTGCTGAGGAATCAGTGCTTTTGAACTGTGGTGTTGGAGAAGACTCTTGAGAGTCCTTTGGACTGCAAGGAGACCCAACCCGTCAATCCCTAAAAGAAGTCAGTCCTGAATATTCATTGGAAGGACTGATGCTGAAGCTCCAATATTTTGGCTGCCAGATGTGAAGAGCTGTCTCATTTGAAAAGAACCTGATGCTGAGAAAGATTGAGGTCAGGAGGCGAAGGGGACGACAGAGGATGAGACGGTTGGATGGCATCACCGACTCAATGGACATGACTTTGAGCAAGCTCCGGGAGTTGGTGATGGACAGGGAGGCCTGGCATGCTGCAGTCCATGGGGTCTTAGAGATTTGGACACGACTGAGCAAGGGAGCAACAAGAAGGCTTGAGTTAGATGGTTTTGCCCTAGTGCCAGTTAGTGTGAGTGTTCTGAGCCTTTTAAGGCAGGTGAGGACAAGCCCTGGCGTGTGGCCTGCGAAGCGCATTAAATGGAATTTCAAACTTCTTTCAACTTATGTTGGGCTTATCAAGACGTAACCAGATGTTAAGCTGAGGGGGGTTGTTCAGACATCCCGGGGCAGTGAGTCTGGCTGCACCGGCTCCTGCCTCTCACAGCCCGGCGCCTGGCCTCTGGCACGTCCCGTGTGCTCTCTGACCTGGGCCGATTCCTCAGAATCCCTTTGCTGAGCTAACTCATGACCTGAGCTGGCCTGGCGGCAGAAGCCAGGCCTGCACGTCCCCAGCTGCAGGCGGTCCCAGGAGACCCCCAGCCTCGGCGGGCCTGGGGACTCAGAGCAGAGACTGTCCCTCCACAGTCCTGGACCCTGCTGACTCCCACCCCACGGGGCATCCTCTCAGTCCCCCAGCTAGCAGTGTAGCCAGAGTAACTCATGACGAATGCCCACGTTTCACCCCAAGTCTGTCCTGAGGTGGGTACCAGAAAGGCGGCCCTGACCATTCTGCAGTGAAGGACCTGCACTGAGAGAGCTGCTTCGTCGCCAGGAGGGAGCCGGCCAGCTGAGACTGTGAGCACACTCACAGTGTACACGGCGCATGCACAGCCTCAGCTTAACTACCTTGAAGGAACAGCTCATTAAAGAGTGTACAAATGCATTGATAAAATGCACCTAAGACAATTTAAACATTTACTTTGAAAATGAATATAAGTGAGCAGTTGATAGACTCTGAGTGAAATACATTCAAACAGGTGCTGACAACTGCCAGGAGCAGGGAACGGACTCCCCGCGGGGCCCCAGAAGGAGACAGCCCTGCTGACACCTTGACCTTGGGTCCCTCCACCACACTGGGAGAGAGCCAGCTCCTGCTGTTCGCGCCTGGCCTGTGCTTCTTTGTTGTCACAGCCCTCAGACACCCCCACAGGTCCTGGCCTGAGCCCCTCGGCCTGCGTGAGAGCCCCTGCCCTGTCGCCCCCTGCCCCCCCCCGCTCCCCGCTGGAGGCGCCCTGTATGCCGTGGAGTCCCTCACTGAACGTTCCCCTGCCTGATGGGCTGGGCTGCAAAGGACACTGTTTAATCAGAAATGCCTTCCGGGAGCCTACTGCCAGGAGGTGGCCTTCTCTGGGAACCAAGTCCACCTCCACTCCCTGGGAGAGTCACTGTCAGGACCCTGGCAGCCCCAGGAGAGGCATCCTGGGAAGCCCCAGTCCCCCTCCAGCCCCTGAAATCACCTCCCTGGAGAGCCAGGTCACCCTCACCCGGCTCCCTCCTCTGGCCCCCAGGGTCTCCTCTCCTGTCCCACCGCCCACCCCACCCTGGCCGTTGCTGCCATAGCTAACCTGGACCTCCCAGGGGCCTGAGCGTGCCACTGCCCCTGTCAGCTCCCACCTGGACCCACGGAGCTTATCTCCGCAGGCTAATTCCCTGCTCCCCTGCCTCGCCGCCAGCTGCCCTCTCTTTCAAGGCCTTTCCTCCGTGCTTCGCCAGTCCTGCACCCTCCCTACAGCTTCACCTGAGACCTCCTTTCACCCTCCAGTCACCGTCTGCTGCCCAGCAGGTGAGGTCTCGCGCTCCCGCAGGGCGCAGTGTGGCTGCACATGCACCAGCCCTCCTCTCGAATCCCTCCTGTGCACACCATGCGCACCCAAGGTTGGACAAGCCCTCGCGTGGTTGGGATGCCAGGAATGATGGCAGAGAGGGACAGGGTGTCAGTGGGGCTTGTGGCAGGGTCCTCACGGATGCACACAGCAGCCCCAGCGCAGGCCACCTTGGGAGACCAGCCTGGGGATCCTCTGCCACTCGGCCATCTTCCTCTGTCCGGACCAGCCCCAAGACGCCACCCTGGTGCATCGCCACTGGCCTGGGAGGAGACACACATCCCTTTCCCATCAGTAATGGTTCAGTGCTCAGGATATGCAGCACATAGGAGCGTGGCTTGGGGTAAAAAAAAAAAACCTTCACGAGGAAACGGTTTCATAAGATAAAGTATACTTGTTTATTTCAAGGCCACAAATGCAACATTGCAAAGCAGGGCCGGGTGGAGCATATGACTGTGGGCTCCAGGCTTGGCCATGGCACTCAGCTGCACCGAGAAAAGCCAGTTTCTTACAGCTCGAAGCTGGAGAGGACGCGGGGAAGATTTCAGTACAAGCAGACACGCTGCACAGGCCAGGGCCCCGGCTCCACGGCAGCCCCTCTTGTCCCGTCTCTGGCGCCCCGTGCTCTTGGCTGGCCGTCACTTCACCTGCAGGCAGCAGAGGCGGAGTGAGTGGGTTAGGGATGCCGGGGGCCTGCAGCCTGGGACTCGGCGGGTTCGCGCCCTCCCCGGGCAGGCAGCCTACCTTGAACAGGGTGACTGTGGTGCTGTAGAACAGACTCAGCAGGAAGAGCACGATGAAGGTGGAGGCCATGGTGTTGAGGTTCTCGAAGCCTTCCTCCTCAGCGCTCACCTCCCCCTCTGCAGGAGACAGGGCACAGGGGTCAGCGCGGCCGAGCTGCCCGCAGAGCGCACCCTGGCCCCCTTCAGCTGCGCTGACCCGCCCGAAGGGCCGGGGGAAGGCAGAAGCGAGCGGGCAGGAGAGCGGGTGTGTGCCTGCCTCCCTGGCGCCCCCGGGGTGGCTGGGAGCTCCAGGCCTTGTCAGGCAGCGTCTCGGCCACCCAATTCCACGGCCAGCAGGGGCAGAGTGTGGCTGAGCTGAGCCAAGCAGTGACCCTGAGCGCCTGGCCCTAGGAGCGCTGGGGTGGCAGAGAGCAGGACAGAGCACACACATACGCACAAGGGTGGGATCTCGCCACGCTGGAGGTGGGGGAGTGGCCCCAGTGTCCTCGACTCCTCTGGAGGACGCAGGGCCACTTGGGGCTGACAGTGGTAGTGGGGCATCCTGTCTCTGGTGGTTTGGGGTGGGCTCCCTGGCCAGTGAGGACAAGCCCTGGGGGCAGATAGCTGCCTGTGACAAGGGGCCCATCCGTTTAGCCTCCGTCTCTCTCTGTCTTGGAGCCAAGGCACTTATGAGAGAGGCCATGTGCGGCCCTGGCTGGGGCCAGGACTGCAGGACTCATAGCTGTGGGATCAGGAGGTCAGATAGACGTCTGAGGCCCAGGGAGAGTGGCGCTGGGACAAAGGCTGAGGACAGTTACCTAGGCCTGCAGCTGCTATGCTGATGGGCCCCTGGTCCCTAAAGTGTCAGGAGTGTAGGGGAGGTTGGGAGTCAGCCTGAAGGGGCACTGGTGTGGTTGGCAGAGGAGACCCACTCGTCCGTTGGTTCAGTGCCCACCACTCCAGGTTCACATGTAGCCCTGCAGCTGCCTATTCCATGGAGGGCCTCCCAGGCATGGCCTGCTCTGCCAGGACGTGCCTGACTCTGTCTCTTAACAGGGAAAGGGGAGAGCTGGGGCCCTGCCACCTTCACAAGGGCCTGGACTGGGAGAAGCAGACCTGCTGGACATGGGCCGGGAGTTTCCTTGAGGAGCTGCCTCTGGCCAGGCCCAGAGTGGCCCTCTGCACACCCTGCTCTGGGGCTGGGGCTGGGGTCTGCGCAGGAGTCCAGGCTAGGCCGGCCCCCAGATGCACCTCCAAGCTGAGACAGAGGGACAGGCAGAGCATGGGCATGGGGCAGAGGGACTCCGCTGGACAGGGTGGTGAGTGACCGCAGGTGTGCAAGGGCTGGGAGTGTGTGAACCTGGGTGTGTGCAGTGTATTCACATGTGTGCACGAGCATGTGTACATCTGTGCGTGTGTGTCTACATGTCTATAATGTGTCCTCATGCATGCATGTGTGTCTGTGTGTGTGAGCGCCCACGGGCATGTGCCTATGAGTGCCTGTGACTGTGCACATGCGTGTGGGTGCACGTGTACATCTGTGTCTGTGTGTCCACACTTTCATGTGTCCATGTCTGTGTGTGCGCCTGCTCACCCAGGTCCATCACATACATGTCTGTGTCACGTGTGCCCATGTCTCTGTCCATGTGAGTGCATGTTTGCATGTCCGTGCATGCGTGTATGCACATGCATCTCTCTGCGTGTATGCGTGTGACTGTGTGCATGTGTGTGTTGCACACCCGTGTGCCCCCAGTGTGGCCATGGAAGCGACTCAAACTGCAGCGAGCATGGGCTCAGCCTGCTGTGAGCATCCTGCAAGGAGCACCGGGGCTCCCAGGCATGGGTCGGAAGCGAGTGGGGAGGCAGGGGTGAGGATGGTGGAGGGTGGTCTGCAAGGTGAGGGCAGACAGCCATGGACCCAGCAGGGAGAGCTTTGCTCACTCACAACCAGCATCTTTTGAATGGATCTTTTTATTTCTAATTTTTATAAAATGCAACATCTCACGCATCGACATGGTTAGTTTGCACTCATGCACACACACAGCGGCAGTCACCTGGGGGCTCTGACCCGGCCTGAGCGGGCAGCCAGGCATCAGTAGCAGGTGCTGGCCGTGTCAGACATGACCAGAGACACGTTATACAGGGTGGGTTTACCGGTGGACTTGTCCACGGTCCGCTCGGTGACCATGTGGGGCAGGGCCTCGTGGCCCACGACGCAGGTGTAGGTCTCCCCTTTGCTCCAGTCCTCTTCGGTCACTGTCAGGATGCTGTGCACGAAGTACACGCTGGGGTCCTGGGGCTCGGGCGCTGGGCTGCTGGTCACGTACTTGCTCTTGGTCACGGGCTCCCCCTTCTGCAGCCACTGGACGAACACGTCTGCAGGTGCGAAGCCCTTCACCAGGCAGGTGACGGAGGCTGACTCCCGCAGGCTCAGCTGTTCCCGCGTTGGAGGCAGCACATACACGGACGGCGGCTTCATGGTGACATCTGTGGTGGGGGGTGGGTCGCAGTGGTGAGATCGGGGAGAGCAGGTCCTCTCCGGGCCCTGCCTGCTGTCCTCAGACCCTGGAAGCCATGGGAGAGTCCGGGGTGGAGGGCAGGGGCAGAGTCGGGCCTACCTTTGGGCTTGGAGATGGTGTGCTTTTCTGGGAAGGGCAGGTCCAAGTGGGCCACCGTGCACGTGAACTCCTCTCCGGACTCCCAGTCCTCCGAGCAGACGGAGGCCTCGCCCCTGGCGCTGAAGGTGTCGTTGAGGTGCCTCTCAAAATAGGTGTGGGTCTCTAGGGCTTTGCCGTTCTGGCGGGACCAGCTGATATTCAGACCATCATAGGAGGCCAGGTTTGTGACCAGGCAGGAAAGCTTGGCTGACTTCGTGAGGAAGATGTCAGCGAAGGATGCGGGGATGGTGAAGACCCCGATGGGAGATGTTTGTGCTGGAGGTGGGAGAGAGTTGGTTGGAGTGAAATCAGGTGAAGGAAGAGGTGCGCCCAAAGAGCAGGGGCCACTTGGCTGAGTCCCCTGTGAGCCTGGGGCCCCGCTGGAGGGGCGCTGGCCCCCAGTCGCCTTGCACAGCCCCTCCTGCCCTTGGCCGCTCTGGGAAGCCAAGGCTCAGGAAGCAGCTGGCACATCTGGGGCAGTGTCTGCAGACCTGAGCGTGAGCGTCCCCACCCACCAGGGCTGCACTCACTAGAATCACATGAAGAGGATGCATTCTTCTGGAAGGTTTCCTTGTTGTGCTCCACCTGGCAGGTGTACACGCTCTGGCTGAGCCAGTCACTCTCCGTGATGGTCAGCACGCTGTAGGCCCTGAATGTTATGGGTGAGGACTGTACAGTCTCCACCTGGCCTTCAGAAATGCCAGTCACCATTCGCCTGCCGTCACGAAACCAGGACAAGGAGATCTGTTTGGGGCTGAAGTCAGTGGCCTGGCAGATGAGGCTGGACTTGCTATTGCCGTTACCAGAGAGGCTGTTGCGAGGTGGGACAAAGACACTCACGACGGGGGGCAACACTTCCACCTCTGTAGAGAAGGACAAGGGGTCAGCGGGGCCTGAACCCTCCCCCTCCCCCCCAACCACGGGACGAGCCCGACTCACTTGCAGCGGTCACCCTCACAGTCTTGACGGTCTTTCCTCCCTTGGGGTGCTGGACTTCACACACCAGGTAGTCATCCGGCTCTTGAAAGATGCTTGGGGAGGGCAGGACCACCTGAGAGGAGGCCGACCACAAGCCATCCCTCAGGACTTCGGGGAAGGTCAGGAATTTCTCACTGCTGACCGTGCTGTTGTTCTTGAACTTCCAGGAGAAGCTGACAGAATTGGGCACGAAGTCCTGGGCCAGGCAGCCCAGGGCCACAGTGTTCTCGTCAGACGGGGAGCTCACACAGGACACCAGAGGGAAGACTTTCGGGTGAGATTCACTTGCTGGGGACCCGAGAGAGGACACAAGAGAAGAGGGGGGTGAGAGGCGTCCTGCTGGTTGGGGGTGCAGGCCACTCCACCTTCTTTCTGGGACAGCGGAGCAGAGGGCACATAGCTGCCAGCCCACCGTCACTACCCCCGGCTCAGCCACTTGGGGCCTGGCCCGGGGTTCTGGGGTCGTCAATGATACTGATACACACTCAGGCCCCTAGTCTTCAGCACAACCAGATCACTGAGGTCAGCCCACTGTTGACCAGGACAGTCCAGTGGGGTCAGCTCAGTCCAGCTAGACCCACCAGCCTCAGTGGAGGTTAACTGCTTTGCATCTCAACAATTTGCCCAAGTCAAGCCAGCCCAGTGGGTCCACTTCTGTTGGCCCTGTCTCAGCCTACCATGGTTAACCCAGCATACCCCAGTTCAGCCTAGGCTAGCCCAGACCAGCTCAGCCCAGCTCAGCTCAGTTCAGCCCAGTTCAGCCCAGTTCAGCCCAGTTCAATCCAGATCAGCCCATTAGGCCAGCTCAACCCAGGTCAGTTCAGCTCAGCTCAGCTCCACCCTCTCAGGCTAGATCACTTGCTCAGCCAGCTAAGCCCAGTTCAGCCCAGCTCAGC